TTTACGAATATTCTCGAAATAAATTTTTTCTTCTTCTTGTAAATTTTGAGACAGGAAAGCAAGGGGAATAAAGTATGTGTTAATCATAGAAAAATGATTCCTTTCGAGAAAATAATCAAGACAATTTTTGTATTATTATTTTTTAACTTTATTTTTTAATTTTATAATTTAATTAATTTTTTATTTTTATTCATGGCGAATAGGAATGGCAGATGGGAATACGAAGAGGCGAGACTTCTTCTCTGCAGAGGAAATTCAAAGAAAGCAAATATAAATTAATTAGAGTGGCTGTCTCGATTACAGATACCAGTTACTCGGCTTATCATCCGGCTTTGCACGGAGTCGGGGAGGATTCCTTCGTGAGGCGAAAGCAGAGGAGGAACAGAACCACGTTCACTCTTCAGCAACTGGAAGAATTGGAGTCAGCGTTTGCGCAGACACATTATCCGGATGTCTTCACGAGGGAGGATCTGGCGATGAAGATTAACCTCACCGAGGCCAGGGTTCAGGTTGGTACGAATTGAAAAAGCAAACTTGCAACGATGGTATCATATCTCGAACAAAATCGAGAGATGAAAACTTTCTTACTTGGAATTTGGAAAAGCGTGGACAAAAAGAAATTAAATTTCTATATTATGTTGAACTAATATAATATAAAAATATTCAACAAATTAAATGTTAAAAAACATTTCTGGAAAACGGATAATACGTTATTACAAATATATATATATATATTTTTTTTCATCAACAAATATTCGATGACAGGTATGTTTCACGACGCGAAAATCTTTAACGATTTCGAGTGGTGCGCGTTTTTTCCGACAAATCAATTTTAAACAGCATCAAATGAATAAATGGCACAGAGAGGAGGGAAATAAAATAAATCGGAAATGTCGCTTAATAAGCGGAGTTGTAATCAATTAACTTTTAAATTATCAAAATATACAATAATATGCTAATGTGCGAACGCACTTTAATAAATGTGTTCAATTTCCCAGTTTCGTGTTTCCCAAATTATTTAATAATTCGTATAGTAATTTTCAACATACTTTTCCTTCTCCATCTTCCTCCCTCTCTTTTTTTTTATCAAAAAAGACTTTATCCAAAATAATATAATTTTTACAAAATAAAAAATATATATATATATATAATGCTGGATCAAATTTCAATACTATTAGAAAAATGTTAGAAATATGAAAATGCTATAAGCATTCGAGGAGGCAAGTTCGATACGTTTCGAATACGAATTCCGTGATCAGGGATCGTCAACGAGAGCATCACGGTCAAACGGGGCAACAATGATCGATTGTTTCGACGCGCGGGAGTATGGATCACGGGAGTGCAAGAGCAGGAGCGCAAGATGTAGGGGTAGTTTTGGGGTACACCCAATCTCCCGCGGGAGGCGCTGACACCCTCGACCTGACGTAATCTTCTGACAGAGTAAGCCGGTAATCTCCGGGATTACTTTGTACTCTTGGCTACGTCCTCCTGCCCATATTTACTCGCACCGGCGTAATTCGCGCTGCAGAGAATCCCGCCAGTAATAGCGATTCCCTGCTCAAATCCTGTTCGAACATCTGCAGGATATCTGATCGCTCATGTCAGATTTTTAATTCGTCCCCTCTTTTTAACCTAGTCGTCAAACTTTCGTCCATTTTTTTTTTACTTAATAGATTCCACTTTTTTAATTAATAGAAGTAATTGGAATAATTTTTTAGGTTTGAAATTGAATAACAGTTGAGTGAGAATTTCAATCGTTAGAAGTCTCACATTTATAATTAATAGAGTAAATATTATTTGAAAATAGTGTTTGTTTAAATTTGTCCATTTTTTTATTTTTTTAATTAATAATTAAATGTTAGATTAAATGTTGCAATAATTTGTTAGGTGTGAAAATAGTATTTGTCTAAATTTGTCCATTTTCTTACTTTTCTAATTAATAGAAATAATTACAATAATTTTTTAGATTTGAAATTGAATAAAAGTTGAGTGAAAATTTCAATCGTTAGAAGTCTCACATTTATAATTAATAGAGTAAATATTATTTGAAAATAGTGTTTGTTTAAATTTGTCCATTTTTTTATTTTTTTAATTAATAATTAAATGTTAGATTAAATGTTGCAATAATTTTGTGAATATAGTATTTGTCTAAATTTGTACATTTTTCCCCCATTCCACTTTTCTGATTAATAATAAATAAAATATTGCAATAAATGTTGCAATAATGTTGAGTGAAAATTTCAATCATTAGAATTCAGTTCATATAATTTTTTTTCCAATATATTTATAATTAATAGAATAAATAGTATTTGTCTAAATTTGTCCATTTTTCCTCCCTTCCACTTTTTTAATTAATAGAAATAATTGCAATAATTTTTTAAGTTTGAAATTGAATAAAAGATGAGTGAGATTTTCAATCGTTAGAATTCTCACATTTATAATTAATAGAGTAAAGTGAAAATAGTATTTATCTAAATTTGTCCATTTTTTCCCCATTTTTCTAATTAATAAAAATGTTGCAATAATTTTTTAGGTTTGAAATTGAATAAAAGTTGAATGAAAATTTCAATCATTAGAATTCAGTTCGTATAATTTTTTCCCCCCACATTTATAATTAATAGAATAAAGTGAAAATAGTGAAAATATTTATTTAAATTTGTCCATTTTTTTACTTTTCTAATCAATAATTAAATGTTAAATTAAATTAAGTGTTGCAATAATTTATTAGGTGTGAAAACAGTATTTGTTTAAATTTGTCTCTCTACTTTTCTAATTAATAGAAATAATTGCAATAACTTTTAGGTTTGAAATTGAATAAAAGTTGAGTGAAAATTTCAATCGTTAGAATTCTCACATTTATAATTAATAGAGTAAAGTGAAAATAATGAAAATAATATTTGTTGAAATTTGTGAATAAAACGTGGTAAAACGATGGAATATTTTATTACAAGTGTACGAAAGTGTGATAGTGAATAAAGTGAATAATAATAAACTAATTATTTTTAGATATTGTCAGATTCGAGCTAGGATTTATTTCGAAGAGGAAAGAAAATATTACGTGTTCATAAATGCATTCAATTTATTCTTATTAAATCAATGAAATTTCGTACGAGATACGTAATTAATTAATGCAAACATCGAGCAATGGGTTTGCAATTAAACGAACTAAATGAGAAAGATGATAGGATTTAAATGTTGGACACACGAGTCTGATGAAGAATTAATAAATAACAGCAACGGAATCGTATATATTTGTACAACGTATAACGAGAAATAATTCCAAAGGATGAATTCGTATCGTACAAGGATAAAGGAGAAATAATAATTCCAAGAGATTGCGTGTTTTCATATCTCGTCTCGTTAATTAAAACGGAAACCGAGAACTCACGTATTAAAACGCGCGTATTAAATCGAACTTCCAACGTGTATCCACTTCCAAACAAACGAAACAAACGAGTCAACTTTTCAACTTGTGTCAAATAAATATAAACCGATATAATTCAAAGAAATTATTTTCCTATCCTAATTACTCGTTCAAAACCTAATCTCCAAATTCCAAATTCAATCAATAACCTTGAATCCAAAAAAAAAAAAAAAAAAAAAAAAAAAAAACAAAAAGGAAAAGGTGTCAAAAAATCGGTCTCTAGAGAAAAAAAAAAAAAAAAAAAAAAGAACAAGAAACAAAAAGGAAAAGTTGTCAAAACCTCGGTCTCTCGAGATGAATGGAATCGAGAGGAAAAGAGCGCGTATAGGTAGAAAAGTCTGGGGAAAAGAATCCTTCACCGTGGCTCGGCCAGCGTAGGGGGTACTCTGTATTATCCCGCTGCATTGTCCGGATTATAAGACGAGAAGGCCATGCCAGGCAGCGGTGTACACACAATGGGAGGAAGGTAGGGACAGGGACGGCTATGACGCAATTACGGCGCAGACTCATTGTTTCATTAGGGAAGACAAAGGGAATCTGAAATAATGGACAAATAGGCGCGTTTATGCAGTGCCGGTCCTCTTCTCCTACTCCAATTAGAACCCAGTACGGGGTAGGGTGGGTGCGGGGGTGGTTGGCCATCGTCGGTGGATCGTCGGAGGCGAGCACACAAACCTCTGACGTTTGTTCGTCGTCGCCCAGTGTGCGCGCCAATTATGCTGCACGCACACCGAGGTGCTCGAGGGAAAGGAAAGCCGCGCATGCGCGGCAGGCAGCGGAGATCTAGGGGGAACTAGGATCGGCCGGTTATAGGCTCGAACGAAAAGAAAATTAAATCTCGATTCGTGATTTGTTTATCAGGATTTTCTCGAATTGTATACGATAAAAATTGGTAAAATAGGATCGTGACAGTTTTAAATATTATTCGAGAAATCTTGTTTGAGAGAAAGAGAAAGAGAAAAAGAGAGAGAGAGAGAAAGGCAAATAACGCGACGAATAATTAAAAGCAAGCATTTGGGGAACAAGTGTCAAGAGATTAAGCGCATTTGACTTTAGAGTAGAGAGTGAAACAATGCCATTGCAGACGTGTATTCGGATTAAACGGAATAAAAAAAAAAAAAAAAAAAGAAAAAAGACGATTAAAATGCGAAGAAAAACAGGGGGAACGACGAGAGGAAGGAACGTATGAAATACACGAGGGTGAAGATGCCTTTCACCATTGGATTACATACCGTGATAAAGCGCTTATAAATTTGCAAGCAAAAATGTTCCTTTCGTTCATTTAATGAAAACATAATGAAGAAGTAAGAGGCTTTCGTGTTTTCATTCCGTATACATTCAAAAACCGTCCGATTTCTGATTTCCAAATCAAATTTTCCCCGCGAATTAATTAATTCATCAACGATTTTCTTAACGATTGTAACACTATTATTTCAATCGCGTTTCTCTTCGACCATAAACGTTTTTTCCATAATCCAATGAAACATCATCGTCCATAATACTCTAACAGAAACCTCCTTCCATCGGCAAGGAAGAAAGAAAAGAAAAGAAAAGAAAAGAAAAGAAAAGAAAAAGAAAAGAAATCCGTCTCACGACTTAAACGAATCGGACAAAGTTGGAAAGAATCACGGCGCGAAAGTACCTAGAACTCATTAACGGATTGGAATCGATAATAAAATAAACTTGGCGAGGAAGTCGATTACTCTCCTCGCAAACGTGATTCTTCCTCCAATCCCTCCCCTCCAAGAGACAAACCGCGTTATTACGGATCGGGGCCGGAGCACCGAGGAAATGATTATCTTCCTCCATCGAGGAGAGGGAAAGTTTCTCGGCGACGAGAAGGAGAGGAAGATGTTGGAAAATGGTTTTAATAAAATAAATACGACGAGCTCGACGTTGCCTTCGCTCGAATTCGCGCACGAGGAAGACAGGAGATATAATAATATCCTCGGGGTTGCGGGGGCGAGTAATAGCCGGGAACAAAGCCGGTGGCTCCGTCGGGACTCTTTCCTTCTCCGCGCTGGATCGTTCCCTCCTCACCTTCTTTCCTCTCTCGTTCTTTCTTTCCTTTTCCTTCTTTCCCTTTTTTTTTATATATTTCAATACGAATTTAATCCGAGAAACGCCGGTAATGGCGCCGACTCCTCCGTTTCCCTCCACGAGATAAACGCATTTAATCTCTCGACACTTGGTCGAGGAAAGTGCGATGGATCGATGAAACAGGGGTTCAACGCGGGACGGTTGATCGTGATAAGGATCGTGTTTGGTCTTCCTTTATTAATTATCAAGTTATTAAGTTTGGATTTTAATTTTTCGCCACGGTTTAATTAAAAATCAACTTCTTTTCGTGATTTCAAAACAATCTTCTATCCTATAATGCTCGTATAATTCTATTCGAAGAATCATTCTACGATATGAATAATAAAAATAGTAAAAAAATATAATAAAAGAACGTGATATCGTATCCATTAACCATTGCAAAATTGAAAATTCTGTAAAAAAAAAAAAGAAGAAGAAGAAAAGAAGAAGAAAAATTTTCAAGTATCGCAATAACTATAAGAATATCATGGTGGAGAAAATTCAAAAGAGGAACTCAGAGGATAGTAATTGAAAAGCAACAGCCACGCAGGAGGCACGAAGGGTGATAAATCTATTCTAATTCACGAAGAATT